TGTGAAGAGAGGGATCCATACCTCAACATAATAAAGGACATATATGACCAACTTATAGCCAAAATTATACTCCATGGGCAAAAACTAAAACCATTTCCCCTAAGAACACGAGCCAGACAGGGATGTCTGCTTTCACCACTCTTATTCAACATAGTATTGGTATTTTAATAGCCACAGCAATCAGACAAGAAAAAAAAAAGGCATGCAACTTGGAAAGGACGAAGTAATAAAAGGAGGCAAGAGCATACAATGGAGTAAAGACAGTCATTTACATAAATGGTGCTGGAAAAATAGACAGATACATGCAAAATAAAAAATAAAAAAGAAAGAACCACTAACTTACACCATACACAAGTAAACTCAAAATGGATAGAATACTTAAATATAAGTCATGAAACCATAAAAAAACTAGAAGAAACCGTAGGCAGCAAAATCTCAGATATCACTTGTAGCATTACGTTTGTAGAGATATCGACTAGGGCAAGAGAAACAAAAGAGTTTAAAAACAAATTAGACTACATCAAAATGAAAAGCTTCTAAACAGCAAAAGAAACCATAAACATAATGAAAAGGGAGCCTACTGTATGGGAAAACATATTTGCCAATGATGCATTTGATAAAGGATTAATATCCAAAAAATATAAGGAACTCATACAATTAAACAAAAGGAAGACAAACAATCCAATTAAAAATGGGCGAAAGACCTAAATAGACACTTTTCCAAAGAGTGCACACAGATAGCCTAGAGACATATGAAGAAATGCTCAAAGTCACTGACCATCAGAGAGATGAGATTTAAATTCAAACTACAATGAGGTATCACCTTATACCTATCAGAATGGCTACCATCAACATATCAACAAATGACAAGTGCTGGTGAGGCTGTGAAGAATAGGAAACCCTAATACACTGCTGGTGGAATGCTGCTTGGTGTAGCCGTTATGGAAAACAACATGAAGTTTGCTCAAAAAAATTAAATATGGAACTGCCATTTGGCCCTGTGATTCCACTTCTAGGAATATATCCAAAAAATCCCAAAGCACCAATCAGAAAGAATATATGCACCCCTATGTTCACAGCAGCACATTTCACAATAGCTAAGATCCAGAAATAGCCCAAGTGCCCACCAGTAGATGGATGGATAAAAAAGCGGTGATACATTTACACCATGGAATACTGCACAGCAGTAAAAAAAAAAAAAAAAAGGATCTTTTACCCTCTGAGACAGCATGAAGGGACCTGCAGAGTATTATACTAAGCAAAAAGCCAGTCAGAGAAAGACAAGCATCACATGATCTCACTTAAATGTCGAATCTAATGAACAAAATAAGCTGATGAACAAAACAGATCCAGCGACAAAGTAGCATGGAACATACTGTTGAATCTCAGATGGAAGGTAGGCATGGGAGGGTGGGTGGGAAGAGATCAATCAAAGAACTTGTATGCATATACGCATAATCAGTGGACCAGATATTAGAATGGTGATGTCTTGAGTAGGGAGTGGGGGCAGGCAAGAAGGGTTGATCTGGCCCTACACGGTTTGGCTCAGTGGATAAAGGCTCCCGGGTTCGATTCCGGTCAAGGGTACATGCCCGATGCAGGCTCAATACCTAGTTGGGGGCATGCAGGAGGCAGCCAATCAGTGATTCTCTCTCATCAATGATGCTTCTATTTCTCTCACCTTCTCCCTTCATCTCTGAAATCAATAAAAATATATATTAAAAAAGAGAAGTGTTAATCGGGGGAAAAGGGGGACATATGTAATACTTTCAACAATAACATTTTTATGAAAATTTGTTTAAAAAGGATAAAAACACTAGCCTTGGAATCTTTATCATATGCCTTCTGATAATATGCACTGTGGTATATCAGCTAAAAATATAAGCCTGAAATATACACACAAACATACATACATATAAATATATACACACAGAGAAGGTAAACATAGTAGAATGTTAAACATTGGGGAATTGGCTAAAGATTGACCAGGAATTCTTAATATCATTATTACAACTTTTCTATATCTTTAAAATCATTTCAAAATAGAAAGTTGAAAAATCTTTTTTCCCAGCTGGATCAATGCCCAAGAACAAAGCAGTCCAGGGCATGACTGGAATCAGGGACACTGTCCCCTAGGACTCCAGTCCCTCTGTCTCTTGGACACACAGCTCCCAAAGGGCACTTAGAAATCAGCCACAAGCTTGGGAACTTGGCTGTAGTCTCTCATTAGCAGTTAAGTGTCATCTGTGGACTCATTTCTCTGGAGCGGGATAAGGAAAATGAAAGTCTGTAGAAGTTCCAAGACCCCAGAAATTGCTTCTATGTGTGTAGATGTTAGGTCTCCTGAAGAAAACCTGAGGAGATGGGCAACAATATGCAGCAGAAGGTCTCTGAACCCACCAATGAGCCCAGGTGAGAGGAGCTGGAAATTTGCCTTTGCCGATGGACCTGCCTGTGTGCTAGTGTGTTCATGTGTGAGACTCTGAGTCCATGGCCCTGTGTGTGTGCACGTATTGTATATACTTGTATATGTGCTGTTTGATAGTTGTCTGTATATGTGCTATGGATCTGACTCACAGTCTCATTTTAGTGTATGTAGACCAAGTTCTCAGCCTCCTGGTGTGTGGTTAGGGACTCCTGATTCATGTCTGTGATAGGAAACCCTGGCATCACAGGTGAGCATCTGGAGTGATACTGTGGTCTCTGCTGCTGGACAAGAAGATGCCGACCTCATAAGGAACCAAGGTCAGTTCAGAGGGAGCTGAGACCTCTGCTCAGTAATGTGTGGTGCATAGTGAGCTGTGCCTGTGGGTGACACTTTTGTGTATGAGAGCTGGAAGTTATGTTATTGGATTTTCTCTGTGTGGATGTGACCATGTGTGTGTGACCATATGCATGGGTGTTGGTGTTGGTTTAATGACTGTGCCTGTGACTGAATAGGCCTAATTGCCCCATGCTGACTGCCCTCCCCCAGCAAGGGGAAGGTCAGATGGAGGGAAGCTCGTTAATACACTCTCATTAATAGGAGAGTGTATACTGTTTGTTGTAGCAAGTGTGTCTGGTTGTGCATATGTATTTTGGTGTGTTTCTTGTAAGATTTTTGAATTGTTTGTGGTATTGTGTGATTTTGCTGAGCCAGTGTAGTGTTTGAGTTATGTATATGTTGTGAGATGAGTGTTCACCAAGTGCATCATGAAACAGGTGTGTTGATGTGTATTGTGAGTGTGTTTTGTGGTAAGAGGTGTGTTATTGTATGTTGTGTATGTTTAACTTTGAGTTATTTATGACTTGTATGTATGCATATGAGTATATATGAGATGAACCACATGTTGGCTATTCTTTCTTTAGGATGGAAATTTGGTCAGGGTGACTTACAATCTCAAATCACAAGAGTGTGTGTGTGTGTGTGTGTGTGTGTGTGTGTGTGTGTGTGTGTGTGTGTGTGATCTGCATCCATGACTCAAGTACTTCCTAAAGAGTCCACCTTCTGGGGCACTATTACCTGAGATACTCAAAGTCTAAGCAACACCCTGTTTCTTGAAATAGTTATGTTATCATTTTTATGTGCCTGAGTGTGACTGAGTTGCTCAGACGTTTCCAACCTCTTTTTGTTTTTACTCAATATCCCGGGGAAACAAACAAACAAACAAACAAACCATAAACTCCAGGCATCATGATGTGTGAAGGAATTGGGAAGAATTACCATTAAATAGTGACGAGACCTTGGGGAAGTTATATAAAACATTGGTCTCACTTTCACGTCTATAAAATGGAGAATGATACAAGTTTTGTGAATCTCACAGAGGCCCTCAGTAAATAGTTATTGCATAAATAGACCTTAATGTATTTGAGAATTATTTGTCAGTTGGAAAGTACATAAATATGAAGGACTATAATTATCTAGCAATGGGAAGAAAAAGTTTTTCAACAACTCTGGGTACTGTCAGCTCTAAAATAATATATTGTGCTTGGCTCCTAAGCAAGAAAAGGGAAGTTTCCCTGTGTAAGGGTTAAGAGCATGGTTTCTGATCACACAGACATATTAGACTGAATCCCATGAAAGTCTGTAGAAGCTCCAAGACCCCAGATATTGCTTCTATGTGTGTATATATCAAGTTATAAGCATTACATATCACATATGTAATAGATACTAATATAAACATGCATATTTGTGCACCATTTTGTACCTGCTGTACTGCTATGTGCCTACAGAACTTGTCTCATTTATGTTTCTTAAAAACTAAAATAGGTCAAAGAATACAAATTCTTAGAGCAGCTGTGAAGAGGTTTTAAAATCTGGGAATTTAAGGCTGATGTGTGGATTTAATTAGGAAATGTAGGTAAAGTCCTTAGCCTGGTACCCAAATGTTCATCTAAATGTTCAGCAGTATTATGAAAGATACTTTGTGGACTCTTCTGGTTTTGGAGATAATCTGGCATCAATTGGGTTTTAATGCCCCCCACCCCATTTCCTGTGTGTCCCTGAGTTTACAACTGAGGGTCAGTGGGAGCCGGCAGGTTCACAGGAGGTCTGACAATGCTCCAACAACACCCACTCAGCACTGGAGTCTTAGGTTACTTTCAGGGAGAAACAACCCACACCACTTTGCAGGGGCTCATCTTCTATTCCTGCCACAGTGAATTATGGTTTGGTACTGGCCTGGAGTGGAATGATCCCTCCATGCTCATCAAGATGTAAACTCACAGAGGTGGGCACCTTGCTTCTCTTATTCACAGCTGCATTTCAGTCCTTATTTGAGGTTCCAAACAGACGTGATGTTAAAAGTAATATTTGAATAAACAGCGAACCCCTCTTCTATGTGATGAAGTCTTGTGACTACTTTGGAGTTCAACGTTTTCCTGGAGCCAGGGTGGGAGAGAGGGAAGAGGCATACCTCCACAGGTGTGAGAAATTAATATGAAAGTATTTTAAAATGAATGGTTTTCCCAATAATGACAGTATGAGATGAGATGTCCTGTTCATCCTTTCTAGGTCCTGAGACTCCCAAGCCTTCTTCCTCCTCAGCAGACAGAGGAGCAGCATGAGGCCTGAGAACCAGAGCAGCGTGTCCCAGTTCCTCCTCCTGGGGCTCCCCATCCCGCCAGGGCAGCAGGGCGTGTTCTTCACCCTGTTCCTGGGCATGTACCTGACCACGGTGCTGGGCAACCTGCTCATCATCCTGCTCATCAGGCTGGACTCTCGCCTGCACACGCCCATGTACTTCTTCCTCAGCCACTTGGCCTTCTCTGACATTTCTCTCTCCTCTGTCACTGTCCCTAAGATGCTCATGAACATGCAGACTCGGCAACAATCCATCTCCTATGACGGATGCTTTTCTCAGTTGTATTTTTTCATACTTTTTGTTGGTCTTGACAATTTCCTTCTGGCTGTGATGGCATATGACAGGTATGTAGCCATCTGTCACCCTCTGCACTACACCACCATCATGAGGGAGGGGCTCTGTCTTGTTCTGGTGGCTGGCTCCTGGATTCTCTCCTGTGGCAATGCCCTTTTGCACACCCTCCTCTTGGTCCAACTGTCTTTCTGTGGTGACGATACCATTACCCACTTCTTCTGTGACCTCGCTGCACTCCTGAAGCTGAGCTGTTCAGACACCTTCCTCAATGAGCTGGTCATATTCACTGAGGGAGGAATGATTTTCTTGTTGTGTTTTGGTATTATTTTGGGCTCCTATATTCGTATAGGGATCAACATGCTGAGGGCATCCTCCACTAAGAGACTCCTTAAAGCCTTTTCTACCTGTGGCTCCCATCTGTCTGTGGTGTCTTTATACTACGGGACAGCTATAGGTGTTTACTTTTTCTCCTCATCATGGGGTTCCAAAGACATAATTGCTTCAGTCATGTATACAGTAGTTACCCCCTTGCTGAACCCCTTCATCTACAGCCTGAGGAACAGAGATATCAAACAGGCCTTAGTGATGTGTGTCAATAGGGTTAAGTTCTTTCAGCAGCAATCACTAAATTATCTTGTTGCAGTCAGGAGCACAGTGAGATAGATCTGCTAAAATTATTGTATGGTTGACACCTCTATATTACTTTCATAGTATATCCATCATCTTGTCATGTATAAGTATTTTTATATGGTTACTTTAGCTTCTAGGATTATTAATAATTTTTTATTCATAATTGATAGCTTTTGCTTGTTCATCATCTCATAATATACTAGAGGCCTGGTGCACGGAATTAATGTCCTCAGAGGGTGGGGATCCCTCAGCCTGGCCTGCACCCTCTCACAGTCCGGGAGCCCTTGGGCGATGTCCGATTGATGGCTTAGGCCTGTGGACAGTTGGCCTAAGCTCTCAGTCGGACATTCTTAGTGCTGCCGCAAAGGTGGGACAGGCTCCTGCCACCGCCGCTACCCTCTCCAGCAGTGAGCCCAGCTCAGGGCTTCTGGCTGAACAGCACTCCCCCTGTGGGAGTGCACTGACTACCATGGGGCAGCTCTTGCGTTAAGTGTCTGCCCCCTGGTGGTCAGTGCACATCATAGCAACCTATTGTTCCGCTGTTCAGTCGATTTGCATATTAGCCTTTTATTATATAGGACTAGAGGCCTGGTTAATGAAATTCGTGCACAGCGTGTGTGTGTGTGTGTGTGTGTGTGTGTGTGTGTGTGTGTCCCTCAGCCCAGCCTGCACCCCTCCAATCTGGGACCCCTTGAGGGATGTCCAACTGCCCAGTGGGATCGGGCCTAAACGGGCAGTCGGACATCTCTCTCATAATCCAGGACTGCTGTCTCCCAACCACTTGCCTGCCTGCCTGCCTGATTGCCCCTAACTGCCAGCCTGATCATCACCTAACCATTCCCCTGCCAGCCTTATCAATGCCTAACTGCTCCCCTGCCAACAATTTTGCCCCTAACTGCCCTCCTCTGCCAGCCTGGTCGTCCCCAACTGCCCTCCCCTGCAGGCCTGGTTGCCCCCAACTGCCCTCCCCTGCAGGACAGGTCACCCCTAACTGTCCTCCCCTGCAGGCCTGGTCACCCCCAACTGCCCTCATCTGCTGGCCAGTCACCCCTAACTTCCCTCCCTTGCCAGCCTGGTTGCCCCTAACTTCCCTCTCCTGCCAGCCCAATTGCCCCTAACTGTCCTCCCCTGTCGGCCTGGTCACCCCTAACTGCCCTCCCTTGAAGGCCTGGTCGCCTCCAACTGCCCTCCTGTACCAGCCCAGTCACCCCTAACTGCACTCCCCTGCCAGCCTTGTCCCCCCCAACTGCCCTCCCCTGCCAGCCATCTTTTGGTGGCCATTTGTGTCCACATGGGGGTGGCCATCTTTGACCACATGGGGGTGGTCATCTTGTGTATTGGAGTGATGGCCAATTTGCATATTACCTCTTTATTATATAGGATATGCAAAATACCATGCATACCTGTTACACAATCATAAATGTGGTTTGTCTCCATCTGTTATGAGATGTCTGATATTTTGCTTATGCAGTTTTAAAAATTTTATACTATAGAAGACTCACTTATTTAGCATCATGATCTGTTCCTGGTGATCTTTCTTTCTTTGGTTTTGAACTGATTTTTATATTCTGGCTTAAAGCTGATTGTGCTGAGCAAGACAAAGTCAATCAGGGACTGTAAGTGTCCATGCAGAATGTATTGTGGCTGGTTCTGCCCACTGCACGCTCCAGATGGCAGACAGACCACAGGCAGCCTGGACTCAAACGATTACTGCAGAACCCATACTAAGCACATTTCTCCCTTCTCTGTGTTAAAGTGTCTCCTTACCTTGTATTTATACTATAAAAAATGCACTGAGATTGTGTTAAAAACCAACCACCAAAATGGATCTCAACACAGATTTAAAGCCCAGAGGAGGAGCATTGCTGATCTCACAGCAACTCCTAGAGGCCCCACCCCAGGTGCCTAAAATCCCTTCTCAGTACTAAACAGTGGGTTGATTCTGTTATTTTTATTTTTTACAATAAGAAAAACTGAGTAATATTGCTTAGGAGTACAGAAACTGCCTCATTGGAAACAAGAACTATTTACATTAAATACAAACTCAGTTGCAGGCTGTGTCTGCACATGTACAGCATGATGAAGCACACTGGGACCAACCATGGAGACAGCTTCTGGCACTCACACCACAGGGGCACGTCTGCCACATGAGAGGAAAGCAGGGTGAAGGAGGGAGTGAGGGGGAAGAGAGGAGTTCGGCTCACTTCTGGTTTCGGAGCTGATTGGACAGCCAGTCCAGTCCCTCATAGAGCCCGTCCCCACTGGTGGCACAGGTAGCCTCATAGGGCTGGTTCCTGTGGAGCAGAGTGGAGGCCCAGCTTGTCTGTGATCTCAGCTGTGTTCATGGCATTGGGGAGGTCCTGCTTGTTGAGCAGGACAGCAGCCCTGACCTCATCCTCTGCAGGCATCCACATAAGCTTCTCTCGAGCCTTGTACACATGCTCTTAGTCATTGGTGTCAACCACAAAGATGAGACCTTGTGTGTTCTGGAGGTAGTGGTGCCACAGAGGCCAGATACTGTTCTGGCCACTCAAGTCCCACACAGTGAAGCTGATGTTCTTATACTCCACAGTCTCCACTTTGAATCCAGTGGTGGGGATGGTGGTCATGATCTCACCCAGCTTCAGTTTGTACAGGGTGGTAGTCTTCCCCACTGCATCCAGGCTCACCATGAGAATGCCCATTTCTTTTTTGCCAAAGAGGCCCTTGAAGTGGTTTGCAAAGATATTCCTCATGCTGTAGACTGGAGGGAGAGACACAGGCCAGAGAAACTGTTGGCAGCCGCCGTGCTTCTGTTACTCTGAGCCAGGCTTTGTTTTTGCTCCCACCCATTTTTAACATTTTTATGTTATAGAACACTCACTTATTTAGCAAATTTTTGTGCACCAGGCCTCTAGTTACACTATAAAAATTGGTATGTGCTACAAAGAAAGGCTGCTAGAAAAAGAGACTTTTTAGGAATGCATTTAAGAGCACACCACTAGTTTTATAATTAGGAAGAGTTTGTTGTAATGGGTCCCTAGCTTAACACCTAATCTAGTTCTGATATTAATATAAATACTTTATAGGGATTCTAGAAGCCCGGTCATGAAATTCGTGCACGGGTAAGGTCCCTAGGCCTGGCTAGTAATCAGGGCAGATCAAGGCCTTCTGGCTGCTGGCTGGGGCCTACCTTCATTCCACGCTGGCCCCTCATGGTCAGTGCACATCATAGCAAGCAATCAAACTCATGGTCACCTGGTTGAACTCCCGAGGGGACACTTTGCATATTAGCCTTTTATATATATAGACTAGAGGCCCAGTGCACAAAAATTTGTGCACTCGGGTGGGGGGGGTGGAGGGGGGTCCCTCAGCCCGGCCTGTGCCCTCTCACAGTCTGGGACCCCTCGGGAGATAACGACCTGCTGGCTTAGGCCAGCTCCGGGGTGGCAGAGGGCAGGCTCAATCCCTAGGTGCAGCCCCTGGTCGGGCTCAGAGCAGGGCCGATTGGGGAGTTGGGGCACTGCCCCCTGTCATGCACAGAGCAGGGCGGATTGGGAGGTTGCGATGCCACCCTCAGTCACGCTCAGGGTAGGGCCAATTGGGGGGTTGGGGCACCGCCCCCTGTCACACTCAAGGCAGGGTCAATGGGGAGGTTGCGGCACCACCCCGTCACGCACAGAGCAGTGCCAATCAGGGGGTTGGGGTGCTGCCCCCTGTCACACACACAGCAGGGCCCATCAGGGGGGTTGAGGCTCCATACCCTGTCATGCACAGAGCAGGGCCCATCAGGGGGTTGGGGAGCTCCCCCCTGTCACTTACAGGGTAGGGCCGATAGGGGAGTTGGGGCACCGTCCTCTGTCACACACAGAGCAGTGCGGATCAGCGGGTTGGGGCGCTGCCCTCTATCACCCACAGAGCAGGGCCAATCAGGGGGTTGGGGCGCCGCCACTGTCACACTCAGGGCATGGCCGATGGGGAGGTTATGGCTCTACCTCGTCACACACAGAGCAGGGCCCGTGGGGGAGGGGGGGTGTTGGGGTGCCGCACCCTGTCACACACAGAGCTACAGGGCCGATCAGGGAATTTGGGTGCTGCCCCCTGTCACGCTGATCCCAGTGCCGGGAGGCCTCACAGCTCTGCTGATCCTGGTGCTGGGAGGCATATTACCCTTTTACTATATAGAATAGAGGCCTGGTGCATGGGTGGGGGCTGGCTGGTTTGCCCTGAAGGGTGTCCTGGATCAGGGTGGGGGTCCCCACTGGGGTGCCTGGCCAGCCTGGGTGAGGGGATGATGGCTGTTTGCATCTGGTCACACACCCTTCAGGGTGGGGGTCCCCACTGGGGTGCCTGGCCAGTCTGGGTGAGGGGCTGAGGGCTGTTTTCAGGCTGGGGGTGACTGAAGCTCCCAACCGCTCCTTTTTTCCTTTTTTTTTTTTTTTTTATTCTGGACCAGCTTTAGCTTGAGGCTTGGCTCCAGCTCTTAGGCCTCCGCTGCTGAAAGTAGGTTTCTGGCCTTTGCTTACAATGTTGCAATCCTGCTGGCTGAAGTCTGGCGGTATTTGTTACAATG